AAGTATCCTGAATTTGAAAATTCAGGATTTAGTGTCCTAAAATTTTGAGCTGCTAATTTCAAATTCACGACCAAGTGTCCCAAATTTCTGAACTATTAATTTAAATCAGGACATAAGATTCGAGCTTTTGGACATAATTTTCGAACTTTAGGACACGATATCCTGAAGTTTGAATTTTGAGGTTTAAACTCTAGGACGTCGTGTCCTGAAGTTTGAGCGAATTGGCTAATGTTTAAATACATTGTAAACTGTGAATATATTTTAAATTACATGTTTAAAAGTGACTATCTGGTGTCATTTCCACGCATTTGGGCGGTTCTAAGGTTATTCATATAGGGTGAAGTACAAATAGCCCTCAAAGTAGATGGTCTTAAATTTTTCTCCGGACTTGCCTCACGGACAAAATTTCAAATTTAACAAGTGTTGCCCTCGCTTATCCTATAAGCACACTTTTAATTTTTAACCTTGGGAGTTTTTCCTATGGGGCAAATGGAGTCAAAAGTTAAAACCACCTCGTATTTCTGCAATTTTTTTGCTTTCTGTAAAAGAGTCAATTCAAAGACATCAAATATAGAGATGGAAGGATAAAAAGCTGTATTTAAAGGTTGAAAATATGAACGTAGATAACAATTTTAAAAGGAACTTAGTAATTAAGAGTGACTTTCTTGTTATTTTCTTTAACCTACTTCTACGAATGATGTTCAAGCTTAAAGATTTTTCCTACCTAACCTTCAACAAAACAGGGATATCAACTCAACGTAACAGCTACCAAATAATTAATGACATCTTACAAGAAAAGTGAACTAGATCTTGTATTTCTCAGATACGACAACTTTGTGAGAATTAAATGGACGGCATGTACTTTGTGCAAGCTCATCAGAAAATTTATACATATAAAAGAAAAGAAAAAAAGTAAATTTTGGACGTACATTACCTTTTTTTCTTTCTTTCTATCTACGCTTCAAACGTATACCTGAAAAGTAAAAGTTTACCTATGCTGGGAATTACTTGCTCGCCTATAGTTAGAATTTTGTTTTCGTTGCGACTTGTGGGTCTTACATACAAAGTCGATTGCTAGGTCGATATATGAAAGAATTGAAGAAATCTGATTTGAGAAAATATCGTGTATTTTCTATATTGAATGAAATCAGCACTGTACAGTGTACTATTTATCTACAGCAAAAAAAATCTAAAAAATAACCACCTATACACTTGTCTCTATTCTATTGGTTATTCTATAACTACTCATATGCTATTTACAATAATAAAAAGAATGTGTAAAAATAAAAATGGCTTCATCTTCAGCTGACCCAACACTAATCACCCAAACTCTAAATACTGTGAAAAGCCCAATAACCCAGTAGGCCCAGCTGTGTGTCCAAAAGATGTTTAGACAACATCAATTATATCGAAGTCTTCTCAGTGGAGCATTTTACTCTTCTTCTGCATCTCTACTTTATTCTTCTTCTTCTTCTTCTTCTTCATCTCCTTCGTTTCTTCTTCTTTCTCCTTGATAGCTCCATGAATCATATAATTAGGATGTGGTTTCTTCTTCTCAACATCCCCCCTCAAGTTAGAGGGTAACCTTGTGACCCCTAACTTGCTCAAAATCTGTGAATGAGAAACCCCTGAAAGTGACTTAATGAAGAGATCCGCCAATTGATCTTTAGAAGGAACAAAAGACAGACTGATTAGCCCAGAAAGGAATTGTTGACGGACAAAATGACAATCTATCTCCACATGTTTTGTCCGTTCATGAAAAGCGGGATTACGAGTGATATGTATAGCTGTTTTGCTATCAGAATGAAGTGGAATGGGAAGAGCCACTGGTGCAGAAAGATCTTCAAGGAGTCGAACAAGCCAAGTAAATTCTGTTGTAACTCGTCTCATAGATCTGTATTCCGCCTCTCCTAATGACAAAGATATTGAAACTTGTTTCTTTGATTTCCAGAAAATGGGTACTCCTCCAAGTGTGATGAAATAGCCATTGACATATATTCTGGATTCCTTACAAGAAGCCCAATCTGCATCGCAGAATGTAAGCAGAGAAAAGGATGGTGCAGCTGAAAGAAGAATACCCTGACCCGGATCTGCACTCAGATACTTCAAAACTCTCAATGCAGTAGTGAAATGAGAAATACAGGGCCTCTGCATGTACTGACTGAGAGAGAGAACTGCAAACGAGAGGTCTGGACGAGTATTGGTTAAGTAATTCAACTTTCCAACCAAATGACGAAAGACTGGGATTTTCCAAAGGTCGTCCATCATCAGAGTCAAGCTTGGAAGAGGGATCCGGGGGAGAGCTAACTGGTTTCAAGTGAGAGACATCAAATTCCTGTAGCATATCTAAGGTAAATTTCCTTTGATTCAGAATGAATCATTCCTTTTCTCGCAAAATTTCCATTCCTAGAAAATAATGTATGTTCCCTAAATTTTTGACCTTGAATTCAGTATTGAGAAAACCTTTGATATGCTGAATTTCTTCTAAATCATTTCCAGTAAGTAAAATATCATCTACATATACAGCTAGAATAGAAATTAACTTTCCTATACATTTAAAAAATAAAGAATAATCATTTAATGATGATGAATATCCTTTAAAACTCAAAGCTCCAGCAAGCCTGGCATACCATTGCCTAGAAGCTTGCTTCAAACCATACAATAATTTTCTGAGAAGACATACATGTTTAGGACTAGGAGGTGTAACACTTGAGGGAAATTTCATGTATACCACTTCCTGAAGATCTCCATGCAAGAATGCATTGTTGACATTCAATTGAGAGACATTCCAATCTCTCTTGGCTGCTATAGTGAGCAAACACATTATAGTTGTCATTTTCACAACTGGTAAAAAAGTCTCACTATAGTCTATCCCTTCTCTTTGAATATCCTCCCTGACTACTAGTCTGGCCTTCAATCTTTCAATAATTCCATCTGAGAGGTGCTTTACCTTATATACCCATTTGTAAGGTAGAGCTTTTTTCCTTTAGGCAATTCAACCACATCCCATGTGTTATTGTCTTCTAGGGCCTTGATTTTTTATTCCATTGCCTCTATCCAACCTGGATATTGACAAGCTTGAGAAAAAGTGGTAGGTTCAGTGAGTGTAGAAATAGATTGTATGATGTGTTGATTATTAGGTGATAGGGAGGAAAATAGTATTGTCTAGGTTTACTTGGTTGATTGAAACAAGCAGCTTCTACATCTGTGAACATGATGTTGCTGCACACATAGTCCTTCAAATAAACTGGTTGATTAGATACCCTTCCTGATCTTCTCACTGGTGTGGGCTGTTGACATGCTTGGGTAGGTGAGGTGAGATATGATGTGTCTAGGATAGGTTTAAAAGAGGCTGGACTAGGAGACTGTTGTGAGGGAGACTGTTGAGTACAAGTATGTGGAGATGAGGGTGAGGAAAAACTGTCAGAATTCTAAGGCTCTAAAAGAATGGGTGAGATTTGATCATCTGATGGTTGTGGATGTGTAGGTTCTGTGGTGAGAGTTGGATTTGGGAATATGGGTTGGTATGAAGACTTGTTTTCAACAAAGGGGAAATGTGATTCATGGAACTTCACATCCCTTGACACAAATACCTTTCCTGTTTTCAATTCCAACAACTTATACCCCTTCTGATGGAGGGGATACCCAAGTAAGATACAAGTTGTTGCCCTCTCATCAAATTTCTCTCTTCCTTGAGCCAGTGTTGAAGCATAAAAAAGACAACCAAAATTCCTCAAGTAATCATACTTAGGCTTTTTCTGAAACAAAACCTCATATGGTGTCTTTCCATTGAGTACACTAGAAAGCATCCTATTAATGAGGTGTGTAGCAGTTAGGATAGACTTCCCCCAATATTTCATAGGCAGTTTAGACTGAAACATTAAGCCCCTTGAGGTTTCTAAGAGGTGTCTATGTTTTCTCTTAACAATCCTACTTTGTTGAGGAGTTGCTACACAAGACAATTGGTGTAGAATTCCTTGAAAGGAAAGATAAGCTGCCTCTTGTGTTCCTTTTCCCAATTCTAGTGCATTGTCAGACCTTATGATTTTCACCTTTACATCAAATTGTCTTTCAACCATAGACAGAAAAACTTTGAGCATAGGAAAAGCATTACTCTTTGTATTTAACAAGAATGTCCATGTTCCTCTACTATAGTCATCTACTATAGTTAGAAAATATCTGAAACCATTGTAGATGTTTGACCTATAGGGTCCCCATGTGTCAACATGAATGAGTTCAAATATTTGTTTGGACCTTATTGTACTAACAGGAAAAGGATTTCTAGTTTGTTTAGCCCTAGGACAAACATTACAGATAAAAGCAGAATCTGGTTTACAATGAAGAAATTCTAAATGTTTTATTGCTGAAAATGGGAGGTGTCCCAACCTTACATGCCAAAGCTTAAAATCACTAACAACATTAGCTTGAATTGAACTAGAAAAGGAAACTGACTTTGAAATGGAATTGCTTCCTTTTGAAATTGAAAATACATCATTACTAAAAACACCCTTAGACTTGACACTATTTGGTTCCAATAAATAGAGTCCCTCTCTAACTTCACCAAAAGCTTGAGGACTCTTCATTGAAAGTCCCTGCAACACACACTCAACAGATGTGAACAATACATCATATTTGAATTGAAGACAAATTCTATGAACTGATAACAAATTGTATTTGAACTCTGGAACATGCAGTATATTGTTCAGAGTATGAACAGGTAGAATAGAGATACTTCCTATATGAGTAACAATTACCTTGAAAGAGTTAGGCAAACTGATGTTTAAAGGTGTAGGGAGAGGAGTTAAAAACAAGAAAGAATTTGGATCAAAACACATGTGCTCTGAGGCACCTAAATCAATGATCTAGGTGTCTGATTTTAGAGTAGTAAATACTGAACTTGAATATTTTAGAATTGTACCAGCAACTGCATTAGCATTGATCCTATTATTTCCTCCATGTGTTAGCTTTGCCTGCTTATACATCTGCATCATTTCTGCTACCTATTCCTTGCTGAGTTGCTGACCAAAATTGTTGTTGTGTTCACTGTTTTGTCCTGCTGATCCTTCATGTTCTTCATATATTAGTACTGTATTTCCTTTGATTTGATTCTGATACCCTTTCTGATTTGTAAACTCAAAATCTTCTGGGAAACCAATGATCCTGTAGCAGTCTTTTTGAGAATATCTTGTTTTTCCACAATAAGAACAGGTCACGTTTGGATTATACTTCTTCCTCCCTTTGAATTTCTGCTGAGGCTTAGCAAACCTCTGCCCTGTGTTGTTGAACTTGGGCCCTATGCCTCCTCCTCTTTGTGCTTGATTTCTGCTTCTTTGAAAATTCTTGCCTTGTCCTGTGCTCATGAAAGCTGTAAAGTCAGCTAGAAGTTGTGCATTAGGTAGCTTGTCTTCTCCTACTACCATGAATGACACTGACTGAGAATTGAATTGTGCATTAGCATAAACTTTTCTTTGATTCTCATCTTGCAGGAGGAGTGAATAAGCAACATCCATGCTAGGTAGATGATTCATCATAAGAATGTTCCCTCTTGCCTGAGCATAGGTGTCATTTAGACCCATTAGGAATTGAATCAATCTCTGATCTTCCAGCGATTTTGTTAGCTTTGCCTTTCTTTCACAAACACAAGAACAACATATGATAACATTCAAGGCATCTAATTCATCCCATAATCTCTTGATTTTAGTAAAGTATCCTGCAATGTCACAATTTCCTTGTGCTAATCCTAATAATTCCTTTTGCAGATGATATAGCTTGGCTCCATTGGATCTTCCAAATCTTTGCTCAAGACTCTCCCAAAGGTCCTTTGCAGTCTTGGAGTAGATCACACTATCTGCAATGTAATTTGAAAGAGCATTTAGGATCCAAGAGATGACCATGTCATTCACACAACTCCATTGCTCATACTCTGGGGACTTCAGATCTAGAGGTCGACAGCCTCCATTGATAAAACCAATCTTCTTCTTGGCTGATAAAGACAGGAGAATGGTTCTTCTCCATCCTGGATATCCTCTTCCTTCAAATACAGAGTTCACTAAGGTCATTCCAGGCGAGACAGAACTGTTGAGATGATAGGGATGATTAGCATCATAGGCTACAAATTTGGCAACACTGCTTGCTTCAGCAGTAGGAGTTATAGTTGTTTCAACCATCTTAGGCTACTGATTTGAGATTGAATTTTGATATAAAAAAAATTTGATGGATGAACTGTTGGATCGAGCTCACTGCTTTGATACCATGAAAGAAATGAAGAAATCTGATTTGAGAAAATATTGTGTATTTTCTATATTGAAAGAAATCAGCACTGTACAGTGTACTATTTATCTACAACAAAAGGAATCTAAGAAATAACCACCTGTACACTTATCTCTATTCTATTGGTTATTCTATAACTATTCACATGCTATTTACAATAATAAAAAGAATGTGTAAAAATAAAAAATGGCTGCATCTTCAGTTGGCCCAACACTAATAACCCAAACTCTAAATATTGTGAAAAGCCCAATAACCCGGTAGGCCCAGCTGTGTGTCCAAAAGATGTTCAGACAACATCAATTATATCGAAGTCTTCTCAGTGGAGCACTTTACTCTTCTTCTTCATCTCTGCTTTATTCTTCTTCTTCTTCTTCATCTCCTTCGTTTCTTCTTCTTTCTCCTTGATAGCTCCATAAATCATATAATTAGGATGAAGTTTCTTCTTCTCAACAATATATGATATTTTTGTATGATAGTGATTACTATTGAGAGGCTGACCTGAGATAAAGTTAAATTGAGAAACATGACAATGAATATTAATATAGTCGACCCAACTTATTTGGAATTGAAACATAATTGTGTTGTTATTGACTTAATGTAATAACTCTTGAGGTTGCTACAATTTTCTTGTCTCAGTTATGATTTGTGTTACTAAATATAATCATTTCATTATATTAATTCAGCTATATATATATATGGCTGATGTTGACTAAAAACTTTTTTTTTACGTGTCCAATACTGGCCTTTTAATCATCCTAACCACCATATAATATGATTTATATATCTTAATATAAAGTTATTATCAACTAAACACGTGAAAACTAAATATTGCAATACAAATCTTTCTAGATACCGATAGAAACTTGCATTCTTTTGATATCTTCACTAGTATATGCAATATCATGCATATATTTAGTTATTTAATTATGTTTTAATACACCACCTCACGTACGGGGCTTGAATTTTTTTTATGAGCCAAAGACGTGGAAACTCTTTTTGATATTGAATGGAGGTGAGACTCGAATCTAGGACCTTTGTTTGCGCTGATACCATATTGAAGTGTGTGATCATCTCATCTAAAACTTAAGCTGTTAGAGAGAGTATACCTATATTTATTTAAGTATATCTTCAATAGTTTTCGACCACAACATTAGATAAATAGATCCTACATTACACAACAACTTGAAATGTGATTTGATGGAGCCAGTACTCTAAACCTGGAACAATATGAAAATCAGCCGGTTGTATTATTCAACTACAAGATAAGACTGCATAAATTGACACTTCATAAAATTTGGCTTCTCCTATAATGTGAAAATCTTGCATTGAATTAATATTTTCTTTATGAACTTTAAGTTTTTAAAGAGTTTCAAGAAATGTCAACGGACATTAATGAACACTTTAAAAATGAAATTGATTGATTAGATGGTCATGAAGAAACTTCAATTAGTGTCTGTTTGCTGTTTCAAATTTTATCAGTTGTGGTGACCTCCTTTGGGAACCATTTCCTAGTAACTTTAGCTCGAACCTGCATATGAGTTAAAATAATTCATTACATAAGTACAAATAATAGATTTTAAAATTACTTAATCAAATAGAATATGGTAGAATTTCAAATTTGAACCCATAAAGTTCAAATTGTGAAGCCACCTCTACTTAAACAACACTTTTATGAAATGAAATATCAAAATTTTAAAAATTAAGTCAATATTAGCCAGTTTTCATGTGTGATAACAGTGTTGTCAAAAGCGAAAAGTATTAAAAAGTGCTCCAGGTCTATCAGAGCTTTAAGTCCGAAGCGTAATTAAAGTGTGAGATTTTGTTAAAAAGGGCGCACCAGAAAAAGAAAAAAGAATATTAACGCAAGAAAATATTAAGAATATTGTTCATAATAATTTCCTAAACAATTAACATGTCTTTATTGATTTGTATCGCTCTAGTCATGATTAAGGGTGAGAATTTGAGCACAAACCTGCCCAACCCGCCCAAGGTTGGGCTGGTCATTGTCTCATTGACTCGCCTATTTATTGAATTCAGCTCATCTTGGCCCAGCCCATCTCCGCCATTTAAAGTTGGACTCATTTTTAGCCCAAATTAATCCATGAGTAACTTTACTAAAATATTTTAAAATATTATTTTATTTGATATGTTATATATGACTATAATATAAGTAAAAAATATTATTTGGTAATTAAATAATTCATAAGAAAAAAGTACACATTAATTAAAATTTGGTAACAGTTGAGCGGGCTNGGATGGATCTTTGATCCGCCCATTTATTGACTCAACCCATTTTGACCCGCCCAAAATCAGTCAAATCTGCCCATTTGACACCAATGGCGTCGACAGAAATTCCGTCAAGGGTGTTCAAACTTTAAACAAGTCAATAAAATTTTTATCAATGAATGTTGAACTAAATTTTTAGATCAAACTACGCAACATTTAATTAGCTAAACAATAATTTTTTTAATAGAATTAATTTTATAAATTAAAATTAAAATAACAAAAACACAACATTAGAAATTTAACTAATAAAAGTAAGCATAAAACCAAAGGAAAGAGAGAGTCGAGAGGATTTGTAATTTGTAGAGAGCTTTTATTGAAGAAATTTTTGTAGAGTTTGACTTTTAAATTATAAAATTTATTTAAGAAATAACTTTTAGTAAAAATTTACTTTTAAGATTAGTTGTTTATTTCTACACAAATTTTATATTATAAGAGTTATTTTACTAGAAAACTTTTTAGATTGAAAAAGAGTCAAATAGACCATACATGGTAGTCTCCGTTTAGTTTTGGTAAATAAAATGGGCAGAACTTTGAACCCGTGAACAACATGTCACTTTGAACACCCTGAATCGCTGGACTGCCTCACTCAATTGTGTTAGGCCTAAGGGCATTCAAAATATAATACAGTCAAACCTATCTATAACAACATCTTTTGTTCCGAAATGTTTCGCCTTTTATAGTGAATGACTGTTATATACCTATAACAGCATTTGTCATTTAAATATATTTTGGTTGTTATAGACAAAAACTATCCAAAAACTAATTATTTTCTTTTTTAATATTATATATAAAATATTAATAAAATAATTAAATTCAAAATCTCAAAAGATATAAATATTTCACAAATTAAATGCTAAAGAAATCTAATACATTATTAAAAAAATTCTTAACTAAACGCATAAATATTTAAACTCTAAAGCATACAATTAAAAAAATACGAATAGATTACGTTTACATATTATTGGTAATTGTCCAATATAAGATATATCATGTGTACATCATCAAATATAAAAAAATGATATACATATCTTCAAAAGGTATAAATAGATCTTTTAAGTTTCTTTTGGCATTTTTCTAATGCAAGATATATCATTTGTAGATCTTTAGTTATAAAATATTTGATGTGCATATGTTCATGGAACATACTGCTATCCTTAAGATAATATATATAGCTATTATAAGTTGTACATTAAAGTTATAAAATATTTGCTTAGATATTTAGAATTATTATTAGTAATAATCTTAATAAATCTGCATGGCTGGTATAGAGGAGTATTTTTACAAAGAGCGTACTGTCATAAAGATGATTGTTGTTGTTATAGGCAGAATGCTGTTATAGAGAGGTAAAATATAACATAAAAAATTGGTTCTGAGAAAAATTAGGCTTTTATAGTGAATGACTGTTATATATGGATGTTGTTATAGAGAGGTCTGAGTGTATATAGCCATATAAAATAGTATTTACTTATATACGCTGTATAATTATTCTGCGAAGGGTGTGCACTTGACCACCCTAGGCATAAGGTGGCAAGCTAGTGTTTGACATCCCTATTCAAGATAGAACTTGTGGGCAATGAGGTACATGTCGTACTGTCTTGCCTACATGGAAGCACAACCCAAGTGGAGTGAAGCGCATACCCTAAGTTGTTATTAGCTTCAGGGCTTAAGCGTGAGCCTTTAACAATAATCCGAGTCAAACCGAGAAAAAAAACCCGACTATGGTTTGGTATTGAAAAAAAAAACCCGACCATAATTGATTTGGTTTGGTTTTAACTAAAGAAAATCAAACCGAAACCAAACCAACCTGACATTACATATATAGAATTTTTAGATATATTTAATATATAAATATACTTATTGTGATGTAATTTATAAATATTTCTTAAAAGATTTCATAATTTTATCTTTTGAGGTATTATTTCAAGGTTGGACTTAGAACTTTTGAATGTTCCAATAAGTTTTATAGGCATTAACATTAGTAAATTAAATAGTGCTAACAAAAGACCAAACCAAAATTAAATCAATACTAATGCTAACAAAAGACATTCAATTCAATACTACGAACGGGAATAGATTGAATATCTATTTTTTGTTTTGTAATAATTTAGATAAAAATGTATAACCTATTTTTATTTTTTCTCTAGCGTTTAGTCATGTAATTAATACTCCCTTGTTAGTCTACTTATTTTAGCATGACGTAGTACTTTTAGATTATGTTTATTTTTATTATGGCTTTTAACTAGCAATGTTTATATTACATAATTTTATTGTCTTTATTGTTAAATATTTTAGGATAATGCTATGACATACCGCATATTGTGTATTATTTTCTTGGAAAATACTTTATATAGTTGTATCTTACTAAGATTAAAGAAATACTTTGAGCACAATTCATATGTTTTGTTCTACAAATATTTTACCGGAAAAAAATCCCAAAAATACCCGAATAACCCGAGAAAATCCGAGAGCAAAAAACCCGAGTTTTATTGGTTTGGTTTGGTCTTTAGATTTAATAACTCGACACAATTGGTTTGGTTTGATAATTGTAAAATTCGAATCAACTCGGCCTATGTACACCCCTACAAATGAAACCGACAAACTGCACCAACCC